AATAACTTAGGAAAAAGTACCCAAAAAATCCAAAATCTATTGGATTGGTAACAATTTTATCCTAACTTTTTCAATTGAATCAATTTAGTCCTAAACCTTTTCACATTAGTACCAATTCAGTCCATCTGGACAATTTAGATCAAAAATCACTGACGTGGATGCTAATCATCTTACGTGGAATGGCCAGCGCTGACGTGAATATTTTTTAATAAATTTTAATTTTTTTGAATTTTTAAATAATTTTATGGATTTTTTCTTTTTTTTTTTTCCTTCCCCTTTTCATTCCCTTTTCTTTTTGCTAGTGCCACTAGCCAGTTGCCGACCACAGGCCATGGCCGGCTAGGGCTGGCCTCACCTGGGCGAGGATCACCCTCTCCGGTCATAGGCGAGGGTTGGCCTTGCCTGAGCTCCAACGAGGCCCTCTCGCTAGATTTGGCGAGGTCGACCCTTGCCTAAACCACGACGAGGCTCATTGTCAACTAGGCGGGGCTCGCCGGGCCACGCCCTCCCCCAAACGAGGCCCAATGAGGCCAAACCTTGCCCAAGCGAGGTGCGGTGAGGCCACCCTAGCCTGGGTGAGGGTTGGCTTCGTCGGAGGTCGCCCTTGCCGGCCATGGACTATGGCCGGTGGCTGGCAACTGGCCACCAACACTAGCAGAAAGAAAGGGAAAGAAAAGGGAATGGAAAAAAATGAAAAAAACAAATTAAAAATTTCAAAAATAATATTAAAAATATCCACGTCAGTGCTGGCCGTGCCACATAGGACGGTTGGATTCCACGTTAGGGATTTTCGTCTTAAATTGGTTGGATGGACTAAATTGGTACTAATGTAAAAATGTTTAGACTAAATTGATCTAATTGAAAAGTTTATGACTGAATTAGTACTAATGCAGTAGGTTTTGGACTTTTTTGGTACTTTTCCCAAATAACTTATATCAATGCAAGATAATCTCTTTCAATAAGTATTCCTTATTCATTTTAAGATTGAAAAAACTGAAACAAGATTAAATATATTGAACTACATGATGTATTCAAGTAATCAACAATTAAGTTAAAAAGAGATATATATCTTATTACATAAATAATATTCATATTTTGAAATATAACCTAATTCAGTGCAATCATAAGTATATAGTTTATCTAGAGTTTTAAATTAAGTTCATATAATTAGAAGGGCAGCATATTTTATTTCTTATTTTAGATTATATTCTCTAATGTTAAATATTACAATAACCTTAATTTTTTAAACATCAGAATAAAATTTAACTTAATTAACACATGCATATTCATTTATTTAAAATATAGCTTATATCATTTAAAGCGAATTCATTTAACAGAAAATAAAAATGAAAACAATTTTATCTAAAGTCCACTTAATTTGAAAATGATTGACAAAATAAGATAACAGAGACTTTCGTAAGTTTTACTCAATTTTTTTAATTGTACAATTCAAATAATATTTAACTAATGGATAAGGAGAGATGATCTCAAGTTTTGACTTGGTTGAATGAAAATCATATTTATAGAATACGATGCTAATAAGGAATCCACATAATCTATAATAAAAATTAAATTAAACTTTTGAAGAAGCTAATAATATTACTCTCTTCTAATTTCTTTGCAAAGTCTATTGAGCTAACATTTTTAGTTTAAACTTTTCTCCCACATTTTAGATGTTCAACTTAACAAAAATTCTTATTTAGTGTTTTTTATATCCAGAGACTAACAGTGTCATATTTATGCAAAATCTACTGACATTAATAACGAAAATGTTTAACACATATAAAAATATCTTTTATTTTTTGGTCTCACTCCTCTCTACTATAAAAATATGTGTGCAGTGCTCACGAAGATCGAATCCTAGACATGATACTCTCCGGCCCCACTCCCCAATTCTTTTATTAACAAGGCCGCATGCTTGTTAGCATATAAAAATATCTTTCCCAGCAAACATATGTCCTTACAAAGTACGGATCACATAACTAGTTGCTTTATCATTCTCAAACCTTTATATCTTATTGAGTACAAATTTGAAAGAAGTGGTAAATAAAATCTTCAAATATGCTACTAAATGATACGGATTATATTGGGAACAATGTTTTTTCTAAATACAGTTTATCTAAAGAACAATATACAACAGTAAAATAAATTAATTACTTTTAATTTATATATAGCTAGCCTTTAGATATTGGTGTCTACTCCCCAAATTGCTATATTACCCTCAAATCTAGAATTAAGTCTAACTTAGCTAGTAGGTGATCGGTTCCTAGATGGACCGGTACCCACCCACGAACCAAGAATAGGACTAGAGGGACCAGTTTCGCATTTCTGGAACCGGGAACTAGGAATCGGCCCACCTGGTCTTGGAACCGGATTGACCAGTCCGGTCCGGTTACTAGGTGGGTCAATGGAACCGGTGACATGTTCTTTTCTTAAGCATGTAGTCCATAATTCTTTACAGATAATGCACAAATCACAAACTGTCCCTGAGGACATCAAGTTCAACAACTCATATAAAGAAGCTGATTCACTGAGTGAAAATCATAGAAAGAAGAAAAGCTTCAAAGGGACACAGATAGACAGAACAAAGATAGCTAGCATGAAAAGAAGCGACTCAGGCGTGTCTGAGAGTTGAGCGAGAGAGTGACTAAGAGTCGAGCAAGCGTAGGCATCAAGCGAGAGGGATGCGAGCAACTCAGGTGAGAATGGCATTTGAGAGTCGAGCGAGAGAGTGACTGAGAGTCAGAGTTGAGCGAGCAAGAGGTGTGAAGAGTGAGAGAGTGATTTTGTGAAAGAGCAAGAGGCCTAAGGTTTGTGGATGGAGGGTCCAAAGGACGCGATCGTGATAGGAGTCAGGAGGGTTTGTGAAGGATTAGGCTTTTTTTTTTACATATTTTTAAGAAATTTTAAAAAAAATGATCCGATCCGGGTAGTCTGGATGGGCGACTCCACACATTGAACTGGGAACCGGACTGAAAATATCAGTTCCAATTTTTTGGAATCAGGAACCGGACCGGTGTCCCGAGAGCCATCAAGAACCGACCAGTTTGGTTTAGTCCGGGTGATTGCCCATCGGGGAGATTCCTTTTGCTCACCCCTATTAGCTGGGTAGAGTCGTGGTAATAGTAACTTTTGCACATTTACAGGTACAACCCCATAATTTTAGAATAACTGAGGTTGAGAAAAAAAGGAAGATGAAGGAAACGGTTTCCTTGCATTCCTCATTAAATAAAAAGTACTAAGAAACAACAAACAATCGATCCCACTAATTCAAACTATGCCCGTACATTAAGACTAGTTAATTTAAACCAGAAACTAAAAGAGGCAATAATACATCTCATTTATTATCATTTCACTTTTACCTTATTTCATAAAATATATACATTTCACTGAGATTTAAAATATCATAATGAAATTGATTATAGAAGAAAGTAAAAATTTATATCAGTAAACTTAAATGACAGAAATTAAACAAAAGAAAAACACATTTATAATGAATACATTAATTTATTTGAAAAATGGTTTTTACCATTAAGGGAAAAAATTATAGAATAGAACAAAAATAATAATAATAAGAAAAACTCATGCGGCCTTTAAAAAACTCGACATGTTTAGCGCCACCGCCCGTTGCCGCCTCCACTCACCTCAACGTTCAGACCGATCATCACACCACGAAGCTTGGTCGCCATTACCACCGCCAGATTCGACATCACCACCACCATAAGACCCTCACACGGCCTTTGGTTTTAGCCACACGACCTCGGATCTGAAGTGACATGTCCCCTGTCTGCGCTACAGCAGCCTCAAATTTGAGGCTGCAACGCCTCCGAACTGAGGTCAGGATGAGGATGGACATGCAGCGAGGCGGCAGTGATGGATAGTGGGCTGGGACGATGGTGCAGATGTTGTGGACGATGGCGGGTTGTGGTGGGAAGTTGGTGGCGCAGAGGACATGGAAGGGCAAGGAAGAAGAAGAAGAATAAAATGGAAAAAAGAAAAAGGAAGCACAATGAAGAAAAGAAAAAGAAGAAAAAAAGTGACTTGCAGGTCCACATGATGTTTTGGGGGCCTCCACCGCTTACTTGTGGGGCATGCAACCTTAAAAAAAAAAAAAAGCACATGATCTGGTACTACACTTGCCGAAAGGATCGCATTGCATCGATTTTGAAAATGATAGGATTAAATTGGTAAAAAAAATTAGAAACTATACTGAACGCCGAGCACAGGAGATTGCCCATGCAATTACCCCTTAAATCTAGGAATAATATCAGCATTAGACTTCATTTCGAATCCAATTGAAAAGTTGTCAAACTCTGGAAGTAATTAAGATTCTCTTCTTGCTCTAATTAATGTACTGTAAAAAATAGTGGAGATGAAGCATTGTGGCGATGTAATTCAACTGCAAAGATCCATCTTACCAATTTCTTTCTGGTTCTATTCTGGATATTAGATTGCTCCCTCTTTCCGTCCTCCATTCTCAGCGTGAACCGCGATCTTGAGTGTTTTAATCATACAAATAGGATTTAGTGATGACACTGATAGTTGCAATGTCCACTTCAACAGGCTTGTGCGGATTGAGGAACCTTGAAGAGTTGGATATAAGTGGTAATGGATTTTGGGGTCCTCTTCCTTCATGCTTATGCAACATGACCTCACTCCGTGCGCTTGATGTTCGAAATAACAATTTTAGCGGGGCCATTCCATCATCTCTGCTCTCTAATCTCAAGTCACTTGAATATATTGTGTTTTCTGGAAATGCTTTTGAAGGTTCTCTTTCGCTTGCTTCCTTGGCTAATAATTCTAACCTTGAGGTATTCCAGCTCATTGACAACTATAATTGTCTGGAAGTAAATACAGAAGAGCCCACTTGGTTTCCTTCATTTCAGCTGAAAAAGTTTGGTTTATCAAACTGTGTGCTCAACAAAGACGCAAATGGTGTGATTCCCAGCTTTTTGAAAGAACAACATGACTTGGCCAGCGTTCAATTCAGCCACAATGGAATGACCGGAAATTTTCCAAATTGGATATTGGTCAACAATGTAAATCTAGCACGGTTCGAACTCACAGGCAACAATTTGTCAGGTGCTTTTGATTTGCCGTCCAATTTGAATCTTGTCAGCATGCAGTGGTTCGATGTGTCTGCAAATGTTATTGAAGGAGAGCTTCCACCATGGATTGGTTCTATCCTCCCGAATTTGGCATATTTGAACCTATCAAACAACTTATTAGAAGGTAGAATCCCTCCCTCAATGGGCTATATGAAAGTACTGGCAATATTGGACTTGTCAAATAATGGCTTCTCGGGAGAGATACCAGAAACACTCGCTAAAGATTGCTTGTCACTTTCTACGTTGAAACTGTCGGGCAACAATTTGCAAGGCCAAATGCTCCCGAGGTTTACTAACTTGAGAAAGTTAAAATTTTTGTATCTGGATAGCAATCGCTTTACAGGGGACATAACACCTGGTTTATTAAATAGCTCCATATTAAGGGTTTTGGATGTTAGTCATAATTTCCTATCTGGAACACTTCCCAATTGGATTGGAGATCTTCAGCTCTTGTCTGGGCTTATGCTCTCGGGTAATTTATTGAGAGGTCCTTTACCATTCAACTTCTGCAACTTAATACGTCTCAGGCGTTTAGACCTTTCAAGTAACAACCTTGGGCCGGATATACCTCCATGTACCAAGGTTACATTTATGAAGTACTTGCATTTAACAAATGACAAGCTTGCTGGGCATTTTCCTGAGTTTCTTTTTGGAGCTTCATCAATTGTCACACTGGATCTAAGATACAATGCATTATCAGGTGAGATACCTAGCTGGATTAGTTCACTTCAGACCTTGAAGGTTCTTCTATTGCAAGGAAACAATTTTGAAGGTTCAATCCCTCTGGATGTATGCCTGTTGAAGAATATGAGCATGTTGGATCTATCTAATAATAATCTTTCTGGAAAAATTCCTTCTTGTTTGAAAGATTTGACATTTGGAGAGTATGGGTTATCTAGTCGGTCTTTTCTCTTAAGAAGATGGGTTGAGTATTGGGAACTACACGACTATAAGGTCAAATTCAGTTTCACGTATTGGTACCATGAAGGTGACATATTTGGTAATATGGATGTGTTAGAAGAAGTAAACTTCGTGACAAAGAGGAGGTTGGAATCTTATAAGGGTAACATTCTAAAACTCATGTCGGGAATGGATCTCTCTCAAAACAATTTGATTGGCTTTATTCCTCCAGAGGTCGGTTACTTGAGTGAACTTATAGCATTGAACCTATCACACAACCATTTGATGGGACCTATCCCGAAAACATTTTCCAATTTATTTTTTTTTTTTTTTTTTTTTTTTTTTTTTTTTTTTTTTTTTTTTTTTTTTTTTTTTTTTTTTTTTTTTTTTTTTTTTTTTTTTTTTTTTTTTTATTTTTTTTAATTTTTTTTGTTTTGTTTTTTGGGTGGGGGGGGGGGGGGGGGGGGGGGGGGGGGGGGGGGGGCGGCGGGGGGTGGGGGGGGGGGGGGGGGGGGGGGGCGGGGGGGGGGGGGGGGGGGGGGGGCCCGGGGGGGGGGGGGGGGGGGGGGGGGGGGGGGGGGGGGGGGGGGGGGGGGGGGGGGGGGGTAAAATATTTTCCGGGAGAATATTTTCCGCCAAACGAACGGAGCCTTAAAGAATGTAGAGAGCTTGGACCTGTCCTACAACAGATTAACCGGTTCCATCCCTCCACAACTAACAGAGCTCTACGCGCTATCAGATTTTAGTGTGGCTCACAACAACTTGTCAGGTAGGACACCAGATCAAAAAAACCAATTTGGAACTTTCGGTGAAGCAAGTTATAAAGGTAACCCTCTTCTTTGTGGACCGCCATTAACAAGCTGTGATGGATCAAATCAGGAGCCGGGAACACTGCCATCTTTTAATCATACCGGGGAGGATGACTCTTGGAGAGAAGCCTTCTTGTGGAGTTTTGCAGGATCATATGTGGTGGCGTTTTTTGGAGTGGTTCTTTTTCTCTACATAAACTCGTACTATCAGCATGTGTTGTTCGAGCTTGTTCATAAGCTTATCCCATCCTTTCCCGGGTAGAGATTGTTCTTCTTAGAATTTTGTATTGGAAAAATATGATGAAACAGTGGAGAACCTTTTTTAATAAGATTGTAAGCATTTGAGTCTTAATTATGCCTTTTGAACGCTTGATATTCCTTGTACTGCTAATATGAATATTGGGAGATTTGATTTGGTTGAAAATTGGTAGAGGATAGTTTAGTTCACAACCAAAATGAATTCAGCATTCACAATTTTTTGTAAATATTAATCAAAACAAGAAATATCTGATAGCTACTGTTGATACATAAATTTTAGTAACACGATTAGTTAATCATTGATTGCATCAAAATATCAATATCGCACTTACATTTTACGTTTAGCATTAGAGCATATTTGCAAGATATTTAGTCAAATGGGTCGTGCTTGGTCAAAGGAAAGAAAATCTTGAAGAAGGAAAACGGATCAAGTCTGAAGAAGTGAGGCAAGAGGATCAAGAAAGGGATGATATCTTCCGTGATCGCTCATGGGTACTGATCTTCTCTCTAATTGATCTCACGCCCACTCAAAGCAATTCATTCCTCCTACCAATCAGCCATACATTTGGCACATGATTCCTGGCCAAAAGATAAGACTACCAGTAGACAAATCTCACCAAAATCGGCAAGACAACTCGGTGAAGAGCCTCACGATGGAATTGGTGGAGTCCATATTCCTTATCTTATTGCCTAGTGAGGAAAGTCTGACATTGGGATGGAATCCTTGGCAGGTGTAGAAATCTTTCAGCTTGACACATGGAACCCCTCTATCTTTGGAAAGAGACCAATTGATCCTCCCTATAGCAAATTTCGGCCGGAGGAGATTGGGTGAATCAACGGGATTTTCCCATTTTTCGACTTTTTGGACGTGCACACATGCACATTTGGAATGAAAATACAGCCAAGGAAAGCTATTAATACATCTATTCATGAGAAGTCTAATTTTCTAACATGCCAATTATCATGGTACAGATAAAGCATGAAATCCTATCTTAATATGCAAAGATGTGAAAAAGTATCTACATGCTTAAAGATGCAAAGGCGAACGCAATGAGATATGCAATATAATTTTTTCTAGTTATGCAAATATTCAAGAAGTGATTCCCATATGCAGAATTCCTAAGTAATCGAAGTGTGTGACTTGTTAACATGCCATAAATATGAACTTTAGATGAAAATCCAGCAGGTCAATCTAACATCAGCATCTAGCACGTAATTATGCAAGTATGATATGCAAATCACCGTATAAAACTACGTGCAGACGTGACATGAAATATGATAACAAATCCAAAATACGAATATATGACAAATTTCTTGGAAATTAACGTGATGCAAAATGAGTGACCCAATTAATATTGTCATGCCCCGAACTCCATCGAGCGTGCGCAATCCTTACTCAGGTCGAATCAGTGCGACGTCCCAGAAAATCGTCGCCGACCCAAAGATTCCATCAGAGTAAATTCGCGGCGAAAACAGATCATATTATCCCGGACAATAATATTGGAGAACCAGGGAGAAGCAAACAACTAAACCACCAAACAGAATACTATACCTCGATATATAAATATACAACATCCAATTCCTTACAACCAAATACTTTCAACACTCATCAAATTTACATCAACTGATAATACACACCCCAAACGGATTTCCTGATTACACCACCAACTATTTACATCAAGCACTCACTAATTTAATATCAAACCTATAATATACGCACACCAACTGGCTTCTACGGATAGCGTCCTCGACCTCAAAAGGAATTAGCAGCCTAGGTATATTCTACTCCTGAATGCTCGGTGTGCACCGAGATCCCCAAAACGCTGCTGCGGCAGCTGCGGTAGATTCATGGCTCAGGCGGGTGCTCTGAAATGGTTTGGTTGAAACAACCATGAGACACTTCTCAATAAGTTGCATCCTAAACCCTACCTAAGCTACCACGTAATTCTAGATGTGACATTCCGAATTTCGGCCCATTTTTGGGATTTATAAAACGTGTAATTTGTCAGTGTGCTTATAGTAAAATCTCGCCCGAGAACTGATCACTCTCGGTTATTATTTTTAAATTAGAGATTTCGCTAGAATCGCACTCGATCAAATTTGGCCGTTATTTGGGTCCCGAACTTGGCAGTCGATTTCCGGGAGTTTCGGGACAAAATAAATTGGACGGTGTCGATATTGTTGTGACCAGCGTTGAGATTATCAGGAATGATGGAAAAATGGGAGTTTTTGACCACGTGCGAATTTGGACTAGTAGACCTCCCTCGTTATGATTTGGTCTAATTAATTTGGCCTTTGTCCCTTTTTATGTGCGAGGCTTATTTTGGACCCGTAGACCACTTTCGGTTTTTAATTTGGGCCATCGGATCGCGATTAATATTTGAATGTTCAAATATTTTCTTTTATTCTCTCTCTCTCTCTCTCTCTCTCTCTCTCTCTCTCTCTCTCTCTCTCTCTCTCTCTCTCCTCTGCCGCGCATGTCCTCTCCGCGCACGTCTCCCCCTGCCCACGTCCCCTCAGTTCACCCACTCCCACCTGCTCTCTCTCTCTCTCTTCGTTTCTTTTCCTTCTTTCTTTTTTCTTTTCTTCTTTCTTTCTCTTCTTCTTCTTCCTTCTTCCTTCCCCGAACTACTTTGGTTACCGCCGTTCTACCTTTCCCTTTCGCCCGGCTTGCTCGACCACCCATCCAGCTCCGCTGACGCCCATGGCTCGCCGCCAGGCCGCGCCGTCCTCCCTCGCCCAGCGTCGTCGCGCCGCCGCCGCCAGGCGAGCTCAAGCTCCGGCTATTTGCCTTCCTCTACTCCCGTGCCGCAGCGAGCTCGGCCGCCGCCGCATCAGGCGAGTCCCAGCCCGTCGTCCGGTCACGTCCGGCCGGCCCCCAGAACACGCCCCGACACCTAGACGTCGCCGCCATCGTCCCGGCCGTCGCCTTGCTGCCCGTCACCACCGATTCGTCCCCCCTTTCTCGGTAGCCGTGCGTCTTCGTAGAGCGGCTTTGTGCGCACGTCTACGGGTGCCGCCGTAGTGAGCCGCCGTTCCTCTCACCTCGGCCCAGGTCGGCCCCACTCTCCCTTCCAACCCGTAGGCCCCCTTCCACACTCTCTCTTCCTCTTTGTTTTTGGCCGTGGAAGGCCGCTTCAGCCCAGAAAATTTCCTTGCAGCGTCTCACTATTCAGGCGTGAGATCGTCGCCTCGCCAGCCGATCCAGTAGGATTCCATTTCTCTCTCCCCATCTCGGCCGTTGCCCCTCTACTCTCCTCTCTCTAGGCCGTGGATTAGCCCAGGCCGTCGCAGTCGCTCCATTGTCTTTAGCCGGGCCGCCGCCGCACATTCTTGATCCGACGGGGACGCCGCTGTCCGGCCCGCCATTACCACGTGTTCGGCTCGGTTTGAAGCTTAGGACACCGGTGAGTTTGACCCTAAACCCTAATTAGGATAATTTGCATTTCTAAATGGGTTTTAGGGGTTAATTAGGGTATTATAGGGGTTAAATTGTGGAGGTTGTTAGAGGCTGGTTTCGAGGCTTAGTGTGATGATTTAATTGAGATTTAGAGGCCCGTATTGTCTTGTGAGTCGGCTGGACATAGGCGCCTTAATTTGGGCGAAAATGTGAATTTGGCGGGTGCAAATTGAGGACCGAGTAGAGGCCGCTAGGGGCTGATTTTTGTGGCCCGTTTGGTGACCGAGAATGATGATTTAATTGAGGTTTAGTGGACTATAGTGTGCTGTGATGTGGCGAGGCATAGGTGCCGTGATTTGGACGGAATTGTGGATTTAGCGGGTGAAATCGGGAGACCGAATGGTGGCTGTCTTGGTGGCTATTTTACGGGCTTAGTGCGACAATTTAGTTGAGATTTAGTGACCCGCGAGGTGCCGTGAGATGGCTGGACAGATTGGTACGGAGCGGTCCAAGTTTGGAGTAAGTTCGGACTTTAAATATGGATTTTAGTGCGCGCCTCATTTGATCTTTGTGGTGGCTGATTAGAATGATGGTTTGGGGAGTTTAATGGGACATTTTGAAGATATTTATTGGCCTAGACATTGCGGTATAGTGGCTGGTCACGACAGGATTTGATTTAGGCGGGCGTGATCAATTTGAAGTTTAATTGTGCAATTACCGGGAATGATCGCATTGATCAATTGACTGGCTAAATGAGCCTTGTTGTGATTGATTTTAGGATGCCATGTTGCTTGTTTAGCGGGACTAAGAATGGAATAGCTTGGCGGGCCTCGAATACGAGGGTTCTTGTTATCCCGGTTGTGTGGATTGTGCATGGATTGTGTGTCAAGTTGATGTCATGGCTGATTTGAATTGATTGTCTGATTGGGCATGTTGATTTATGAAATTGAATATGCGTGTTGCAAATGCGCATGATTGCATCGTGATTTGAGTAAGTGGTGCGGTGCAAGTGAATGCCCATATGTGAACGTTATAGCCATGAGTTTGCATCACGAGCATTGGCACGGCATGTGCATTTACAAGTGTGCTCGAGTGACATGTGCATTGTGATCACCTAAAATGCCCCGATGCGTTTAACGGGGTTCGGATGAAAATTGGTGCTTGTGAATGTGTGATCATAATAAACCCCGATGCGTTTTACGCGGGGTAGTGAACCCGTCCCGAGGCGTTTAACGCGGACGATGCCCGGATTGCCGGAAGACGGCCAACCCGATGCGTTTACGCGGTTCGGTCCGTATATGGAGATCGGTGTTGCGCCTGATGCGTTTACGCGGCTAGACACCGGGCCCGATGCGTTTACGCGGCCAGAAGTGTTGGATAGTGATAGACCCGATGCGTTTACGCGGGTGGACCGATGCGTTTAACGCGGGTCGGAGGAGAAATTGATAAATGGCAAGTATGCTAGAGTGCAAGCGTACGAAAATGCATTGATGAGGCGTGAGCACGCGTATGAGCACGAGCATAAGCATGACATGCGTTGTGACCAAATGATGTGTACATGTCTTCTTGATTGGATCCTATGTTTTATGCTTGAATTGTAAGTGCCTAACCTCACGGCAAGGTGAGTGTTGGATTTGGGCCCGAGGGCCTAAGTCAATTATGATTTGCTTGGAGTGTTGATTTAGTACTGTCAGGAGGTGCACTTTAGCCTAATTTAGGTTTAGGGAATTACTCGCCGAGATTTATTCTCACCGTTGTTGAAACCCAATTTTTCGGACCCCACTCGAGGATGGCGGGCGTATTGAAACGTTTTGGGAGGAGCCCTGGCTAGATATAGTGGTTGATCGCCGAGCCACGTACCCCGCTTTTGATTTTTGAGTGTGGGCTGTTTATGAATATTGTATATGTTTCCGATGTCAAAACAAGTGTATATTTATCCGTGCTTTGGTTGTTGTATGGCTATCCTGGATTATGTGTATTTTATTGTACGGGTGGTTTTAATTACTTCCGCATGTGCTTTATATCTCTTTTTGTTGGTTGTTGGGTCGGCGATTGCGTCTGGGACGTCGCACACGACGACCTTTACGAGGGATGTTGCGCGCCGAGGAGTGCGGGGCGTGACACTAGACACATCCAGACACGCAACCAACCAATCCACAAACAACAATCCACAAGCACACATACCTGGACTCTCGGCACACGCAATCAGCACATTAGTCCATATTCACAACATTCAAAACTCACACTCATTTCACACTTTGCGCACCACAAACCACACACATTTCCATACCCAAAAACACGTATCGATCACGTACTATCGCATCAATTTCATTTACTTTCCTCGTCGTACTCCACTAGCTCAATCACTTTCTCGGCCCGCGTAAACACGTCTCAGGCCCACACGATCGCGCCCCGAGCATCACACGCCTCGGTCCGATCCCACTTTCTCTTACCATACCACACACCTCGTTCTCAATCACATTCCTCGGCCCGCGTAAACACGCCTCATGCCCACACGATCGCGCCTCGAGCATCACACGCCTCGGTCTGATCCCATTCACACGTTCTTTCCTCAGCCTGCGCCAAATGCGACAGGCCTATATGATCGCGACCCGATCCTATTCTCACCCGAGCTGATCATGCCTCGGGCCAATCTCATTTCCCACTTCCTCAATCCTCAGCCTGCGCCAAATGCGACAGGCCTACGTGATTGCGATCCGAGCTTATAATGCCTCGGCCCGATCCCAATCTCACACTCGCACACATTCGCATTTAATTCCATCCACACAATTGCACCCAATACAGCACAACCACACAGTCATATCGCAAACACGCGGTCAACACACAAACTAGCATTTTTCCACACCCAAACGTTATCAAATCAGTTCAGGCCCTTCACGGCATTTTCACAAAATCACGAGCCGAACCTAACAGTACCAACCACACAACAAACAGCTCCCCACAGCACATAGAACCACACATCACAGCCATCAATCAGCCTTTTTCGCCCTCAAAATCACCATATCTCACTCCCGGCTCTTCACGACACTTTCACGAAATTCCGAGCCGGACCTTACAGTACAAACCATACGCCCATCGGCACATCACAGCACATAGAACCACATAACACAGCCATTAATCTGCCATTTTCACACTCAAAATCGCAATATTCCATTTCCGGTTCTTCACGGCATTTTCATAAAATTCCGAGCCGAACCTAACGGTACCAGCCACGTACCCAACAGCACACCACAGTACCTCGAGCAGCCCTTCACAGCCAACACTCGGCCTCTAAAATTCCTCCAAAAATTCCCGAATTCAATCCTACGGCCCGATATTTTGTTCAACCCCTAATTTCTATCAAACCGCGTCTAAACGGGTCCAAATTTACCCGATAAACTAGGCGAGGTTTAGATTGAACTTACCTGACTCTAGACTCACGCGACTAGAGCGAAACAGGCGACTAAGGACGGTGGCTTGCGGCGGCGGCGACGTACTGCGAGCGGCGGCGAGCGACCGGCGAACGGCGGCGAGCGGCGGTGGCTTGGGCGGCTCGGTTGATTCACGGCCAAGAGAGACCGAGAGGGAGAGAGAAAGGGAACGGCGAGATGATGGTGAGGCGGTGAGGCGGCGATGCGCGGTGACGGCGACGTGGCGCGGTGGTGCGGCACGGCGGCGGTCCGGCGGGAGGAAGAGGCGATCGGGAGAGGGAGAGAGAGGAGAGAGAATGGGTCTTGGCTTAATATTCAAGTTCTGACCACTTTTTGCCAAATGGCCAAAATGCCCTTCTCTCTACTTTTCATCCGACGGCCAAGATTCGATCTTATCTTGAAATCGACGGCCCAGATCGAATCTTATCCAAAATATCCAAGGGAAATCTTGTAATTTCTCAAAAAGTCCAAGGGCAAAAGTGTCTTTTCCAAATTTTGGGGCAAAATTACCAAAATGCCCTTGCTTCATAAAACTAGCCCTTTAGAAATTCCCAAGGGTAAAATGGTCACTTTCCCATTCTCTTTGCTGAAAATGAATTTTTCTGAAGGATTCGGGCACATCCAAAATTAAACGTTCCAACCGCAACGTCGTCTTAACGTTCTAGCCGTGACTTCCTAATTTTCCGATGCCCAATTTAGTCTCAATTTAATAATTGAATTCTATATAATGTAACTTGTGCATATCTCGGACTAACGGGCAGCTTTCGGGAAATTCGCGAGAATCGACTCGTGATCGATACTAAATCAAGTCACGTGCAAGTTCGTTCTGATCGTGTCGACCTCGGTTATCAATAAAATCGCGAAGATCAATCACTAGTTCCGATGGGCACGATCGTTCGATATAGGTTCTGGATCGTTCGTCAATTCACTTCGTGGTCAAACGGAATCACCCGTGATCCACTAGTGTGACAGTGACGAATCGGCCCTTCACTATCCTAAGATTGGCCCTTGTTGGCTCAAAATGTCACCTCGACGATTTTCTCGATCGAAAGTCGACTCACGATCGAATTTCTCTAATCGTAAATGCAATTTAAATCCTAATTAGCCTTTCCCTATAGGTTAGTATTCCGGGAATGATCGGTTCCCGGGTGAGGCGATTACAAGTACATTAATAAACTCAGTCATTTCATAAATCCCAATTGGGCGAAATTTCGGGATGTCACAAATATTATGAAGTGAAATTGATATAAACTAACATGAAAGCGAAAAAATTCCGACAATCTCATCAAACTAGCCAGCAAAGACGAGCAACAGCTATAAGCTCAATTCAAGGCAACTATAAGTTCTAAAGGATAACTTAGCTATTTTTTTATTAACCTCAGTTTCCGATAATCGGCATCTTCCATCACGATCTCATGATTTCTTTTAAAAGAACAAGAATACCTTATCTTTAAAATTTTTAAACACCAAACTTAAATAAAAAAGTCCATACCTCACGTGAAACTAAGCACGAATTAGGTTTCGAGACCACTCGTCATTCCTACATTGGCCCCAACACTAGTAAATCCTAGTGATAATCAGCAACTCAGCTCAGTGATCAGCAACATCGACAATCTGGAGGTGTCCCGGATCAGCTTTTGTTCTGGTTTAGCAACAACTAGGCAAACGACCGTATCAACGTGGAAACAGGGCAGAATCTGGTTAGGGCCATCCATGGCCAATTTGACGATACCAAGGGGCGTTGCTATGTGTACGAGTGTCACTAGGGATAGGAGCGCAAGGACGAGGCACCACCGTGAGGTGTTCGTGTACGACCACCATTTGCCTGTTCGGCCAAGCTTTTGAGTCGTCATCTCGTGCTTGGAAATGGAAATGATGGGACTAGAGTGGGAGACGACAGACTTGCATCCTAATACTAGATAGTATCACGCACCAATAATAATTTAATTTGTAAGACTACTACGTACTAATAAGTTTTACAAGACCTTACTTAACATTTAACGTGGCATTGCCTTTTAAATAACTGACCAAGAAAATCCCAAAGAAAGAAGATTTTCATCTTTCCATATCTACATGACTAGGTGGACACTTCTCTTTTTTTTTTGGTCGGAAAAACCAAGTTTTATTGGATAAACGAGATCTTAACCATAAGAGCCCAATGAAAGGGGCATCAAGACATAATAAATCCCAAAGGATTTGGCGGGGATGGACAACCCAATTATGGAGGAGGATACCGAAACGCTGGGCTTTAGCCACCCAATCTGCAACTTGATTTGCACTCCTAGCCACATGAGAAGCACTGGCCTTCTTAAGCCGACCCAATAATTCACATGGCTTCTATGATAAGAGCGTTTGCTTCCCATAAGAAGTGATATATGCTGGTCACTCCTTTAATCACTCCCGACTCGTCTCGGATTATGCGCGCGATAGCTCCCGTCGGTGAACCCTCCACAAGGAAGCCGTCGATGTTTATCCTCAGGGTACCGCGACTCGGTGGGAGCCAAGCATGAGGTAACTCTCTGTTCACAGCTTTCAAAGTTCGTTTTTTGGGGGTTCCATATGCTGAACATGGTGAGTGTGTTGAGGGTGGAATCAATTAGTGCTTTTGGGTATGGGATCTGTCGCCGGAAAACGAAGTCGTTCCTGGCCTTCCAAATGCGCCAGAGAGTTACTGTGATCATGTCAAAAGAAGGTAAGTAATTTCGTTGTTCTAGAAAGTTTTGTGGCCAAACCTCCATTCTTGAAACGCTATAACTCGAAATCTGAACTTGGAGAAGAGATTTCTCCCAGATCTGACCGGTCCAGGGGTAGAGCAAAAATAGATGTTCAATTGTCTCCGCTTCTTGGTTACCAAATGGACAGCTTGGGTCTGGTAATACTTTTCGCCTAAATGGATTGTCTTTTGTTGGCAAGGCGTCTTGGCAGACATTCCAAAGGAAAGTTCTGACTTTGGGGGGGAGTTTCATTTGCCAAAAGTTCGTTCCACAACTTGCGGGGTGGCTGAAATGATGACGATGCCTGTGTTGTGGATTGATTTCTCCCTTATGCTGGTAACAAGTTGTATGTACTCTTCACTGTGAATTCCCCTGACTTGGTGACTGTCCACACCAACTTATCCTGTAAAGTTTGGGTCTTTAAAGGTACTGATAGAATGTCATTCACAATCTGCTCGCCAAAAATTTTATGAAGAGTTTGTTCATCCCATCTACTCTTCTCTTGTAAGATCAATTCAGCTGCTTTGATTGGTTCTTTAAAGTTTTCCGGTCCCCCTGTGAGTCCTCTCTTCAGCCATCTATCCTCATGAATATTTATATTTTCTCCCGTTCCAACTGACCATTGAACATGATTAGCGATTGATTCTCTCCCCATCAGCATACTTTGCGAACCCCAAGAAGGGCGAGACCCTTTATCTGCTTGCCAAAAGGTTCTATTTGGAAAGTACAGTCCTTGAAGGGCTTGGCACCACAGCGAGGCTGGGTTTCGAGACAGCCTCCAAGCTTGTTTCCCGAGCATAGCTCGATTAAAGGATAACAACTCCCTAAACCCCATACCACCCTCATCTTTACGAGTTTTCAAAACCTCCCAATTCCTCCAGTGCAGTCCAGTTCTTGACTCACTGTTTTTCGACCAAAAGGCAACAATTTTTTTCTCAATTGCTTGGCAAATCGATACTGGGATTTTAAAAATGGACATAGCATAGTGGGGTATAGATTGGACCACTGTCTTGATTAAGACTTCTTTTACCGCTTTGGAAATCAGGTTTTCCTTCCATCCCTCTAGCTTCATATTCACTCTGGCGCTTATCCAAGCGAACATTTATTTTTTTGATTCACCCCAATCCGAAGGGATCCCTAGGTATTTCCCTGTTTTCTTGATTTCAAGGACCCTTAACATTCTGGCCATGTTATACCTCCAAATCTATGGACAGCCCGCATTAAAGTAAATTCCTGACTTGGTCAAATTAATTTCTTGCCCAGAAGCAAAATAGTAATGGCCCAAAACTGAAGCAAGGTTCTCACATTCCGTCACCTTTCCATCTATGAAAAATATGGAATCGTCCACAAATAAGAGATGCGAGAGGGTAGGACAGTACCTGTTCGGTTTTATCCCCTTGATTGTTCCTTCGTTGACAGCTTTCTTCATCAGAACCGAATGTGTATTAGCCACTAGGATGAACAAGTAAGGTGATATAGGGTCACCTTGTCTGATTCTTCTTGATGGGTGAAAGAAAGGAAGTGGCTAGCCATTGAATTTCACACTAAAGGAGACGGTTTTTACACATTTCATCACTCTATCCACCCACTTTTCACAAAATCTTAATCTTTTCATACACGCCTCCAGGAAATCCCATTCTACTCTATCATAGGCTTTTTTCATATCCAGTTTCAGCACAACTTGGAATTTTCTTTTTCTCTTTCTCACACGCAACTGATGTAGCACTTCCTGCACAATGAGAATATTATCCTGGATTTGCCTCCCTCCCACAAAGGAACTTTGTTCTACTTCTATAATATCAGGGAGCAATGGTTTCAATCTATTGGCCATCACCTTTAAGATGATTTTGTATGCAATATTACATAGGTTTATAGGGCGAAATTGATCGAGTCTTTACGGATTCTGAGTTTTAGGGATTAGGGTAAAATGGGTTCTGTTCAGTTCAGGGTTGAGAAGCCCAGAATCAAAGAAAGTTTTAACTTTGTTGTAAACACCCAATTTAATTACCTCCCAATAATGTTGATAGAACTGGGCCATTTAGGCCATCTGGACCTGGGGCCTTCAAAGTTCCAAGCTGGAAAACTGCCTTATGTACTTCTTCCATAGTTATCTCTGCTGTTAGACTCATATTCATTTCCTCGGTGACAATTGAGGGGCATTGCTGCAAGATAGGCTCAAAATTTCGAGGCCCAACCGTTGTGTATAGATCTTTGAAAAAATTCACTGTCATGTTTTGTAAAACTTTTAGATCTCGGCACCAACTATCATCCGTTTGCTTTGACATAGAGATTCTGTTCCTCTGTCGCCTTTGAATCGTTGTGGCATTAAAATATTTCGTATTTTTGTTGCCCCATTTCAGCCAATTAATGCGTGATCGAAGACCCCGATACATCTCCTATTACCTCCCCAAGTCATCAATTTCTCTCTTCAATATCTTCTCCCTGTTTCTATCTATCCAGAGGGACCGAGAGTTCATGAGAACCTGCAGATCATTTTTCAGTTCATCAATTCTCTTTTTGCTGTTTGGGAATGCCTTCTTACTCCATTTTGTTAACTCGATTGCCACTTTCTTTAGCCTGACCACTAAGTCCCCAGCTTCCAGATTTGTGGTTTCCCAAATATCCCTTATAATTCTTCCACATTCCTCTCTACCCAACCAAAATGCTTCAAGCTTAAAGGCTTTTTTCCTTTTGACTTTTTCCACATCAAGTGACAGCAAAATGGGACTATGGTCAGACCCTATCGCTGGTAGCGCAAAAGCTTCAGCTTCAGGATACATAACTCTCCACTGGATATTGCAAACCACCCTATCCAATCTCTTCTTTAAATATTCCTCCCCTTTCTAGGTTATTAGACTAAGTGAAGGCGCAGCCTTTATCCTCTATATCCATTAATCCGCAAGCATTTAAGAAATCTCGAAATGCATGTAGTCGATAATTTTCAGCCATTTGTTTCCCTACCTTCTCCCAGTCGTATAACACCTCATTAAAATCCCCTAAGCAAACCCATGGAAGGGAATTTGCTGAACTCAAATATTTGAGTTGTTCCCATAATGCAAGTCTCTCCTGGAAAGTTGCTGTTGTATGCACAAAAGTCAGCCTGAATTGCTTCCTTGTCTCGGTATCTTCCACATTTAAATGCAGGAATTCATTAGTAGCTAAGTTCACCGATATCGATATCGATATCAACTCTTTCCATAACAGGGCCAATCCTCCCCCAATCCCTTCTGGATTTCTTACAAAACAGTTTTGGAGTTTCAGTCTCCTTTTCAGCCTTTGAATCACTATCTCCTGATTATTGGTTTCCATTAAAAACAACACATTGAGCCTTTCTTGAGCCACAGGGCTCTTAGGGTGTGAACTGTCAAGGGTGTGCCCAATCCTCGACAGTTCCAACATATTAGCCCTAATAAGCTTTGGTGGCTTATTAGGGCTAGCCACCAAAGCTCGTCTATCATCCTCCCCAGCAAACAGAATTGGGGTATCAAGAAGCTGAGAATCATTTAACAAAGACTTGTTTGAGTTATGCCTGTCATACGGGTTGTATCTACACATTTTCTTAGATTGTCTAGTCCCTTTCTTGCGGTTTTTCCTTTGTATGAGGTTCTCTACATCCTGCATTGAAGGGGGCTCTAAAGACAGCGTGGGAGATATTGCAGAGGCTTCATTTACTGTCAGCTCTTTTGTGATCAATGGGAATGTATAATCTCCTCCATAACTTTCCTTTTGCCCCTCTCCTCTTGCACCTCGATGGTCAGGCCCAGGGAATCCATAGCAACCCTCTGAAAAGTTACTAACTGTCCCGAGTAAACTGGAGTTTCTAGTATCATCTCCTTGTCTCCTTCCTCCTAAGAAATTTCCCCATAAAAAGCTTTCCAGAAAGGGCTATTGGCATTAGACTCAGCTTTCAACCAAGAACCATATAGGATCTTGTTATTCGAGGCAAAGAAATTTTCATCATAGGGTACCTGCTCACAATTCTTAGCATAGTGGCCAATTCTTCCACAAGAGTAACAGAAGTGTGGCAATCTCTCGTACTTTAAACCCAGCCAATGCTCCCTCCCCTTAAACCTTGAAAGGATGCCCGATAAAAGAGGGGTATTTAGTTTTAATACTACCCTTGCTCTCTCAATTGTGATTGCAGCATAGCCTTTTGTTCCTATTTTCACCTCAGACACCACCCCAATATTTTCTGCAATACTCCTAATGGCTTCTTCTGTTCTTCCTTCTATAGGCAGCCCATGTATTTGCATCCAAAACGAACACGAGTCAAAATAAATGCTGTGAGGAGGTGTACTCGGCTACCACTCTTTGAGCACTAGGAGATAGCTCGAGAAAGACCAAGGCCCAGAGCCGAATATTCTGTTTTTCTCCTCAATCGATGGAAATTCAAAGGAAAATAGCCCAGGCTGGAGGTGCTTGAATACAACACTTCAGATTTCCATGCCTTTTTCATTGTAGATTGGAAGGCTTGGAAGTTCACACTAGGGCAGCAATACGGTCGGCCAAGCTAGGTACGTTGACATTCTATCAATTTTTCCTCAGTCACCACTTTATCTAGCACCGCTTTTTTCCTACCTGGCCACAAAGGTTCCAATCTTCTACACAGGGCAGCCATTCGTCTGTCTTGGTCCCAGTCATCTCCCATTATGAAATATATGCCGGAAGAAAACGAGAAATCCCAAGTAATCTGAAGTACCGACCTCAACCATTAGAGTGGGCATCTCCCATTTTGCTTTGTGTTGAAACTAAACCGATGCAGGAATAAAGAAATACGCAGATAATAACCTGTGAACGTGGAGGACACAGCTTCACCCTAGCAAAGATGGAAAACCCAGGAAATGTGTTCTCAGTGCAGACCTCAGGGAAGGCGGAAGAAAAAGACAAACCCAGGGGGCAAATTAGGGTTTGTTGTGCAGGCTCACTTCCATATCTTCTACATTCTGGATGCAAGTTGTAACGGAGAGTATGAGTTGGGGTTTGTATGTAATGGGACTAAACTACCATTGGTAGGGAAATGCTGTGCAGTTGAGAGAGAGGAGTTCCAGAGGAGAGTACGAAGTACACTAGAATTACTTTATTAAACAATGTCATAAATCCAAAGCAAGCATTTTAACAAGTAAATCATATTCATCATTAAAAAAAGTCATTTTTCTTCCAAAAATGCCCCTATCTACATTCTAAATTCTCGACCACACTCAATAGCCCCAACCAAACTCAACTCGATCCCCACCTATCTCTGTCACCCCTAGTCGTCATGGCCCATTGCCGCTCCAATTTACACCCCTATCACCGTCTGCCGTGGTTTCCCTCATCGCGCACTGCCATCAGTATGTCCCCTTCCTCTAGTTCTCCATCTTCAGCGCCCATATCTCTCTCTTTGGAGTGGAATGAAATGTTGTTGTCCTAATTCAATAAAGTCTATAGCGAAAAAAAGAAAAAATAAGAGAGAGTTGAACAAAAGTCAGGAATTGGAAAGTTATTTGATATCTTCCGTCTTTGGTTGCTGTCTGATATTCTCCTTCTCATATTCCAACTCGTGGTCTACATAGAAATTAACTTTCGGATATTATCGACACATGGCGAGTTCACTTGATGACAGCAAAATTTGGTCAGAGATATCGTCAATGAACAAAGCAGTCAACAACTTGAAGGGAATCGATGACTTGCCAGTCGGTGGAAGTAGACATTACAAAAGTTATCAATGAGAGCTTTCATCAATAGACAAGGTTCATTGATATTGATGGGCTGAAACAAGCACATGAGTGCCAATTGTCTATTCCTATATTCTCAGAATTTGATACTCCTCATGCATGACCACCGTTAGCTGATAAGGGATTGTGCTTATGATCTCGAAAAGGATAATGCTTATCAATGACCATAAATAGTACTAGAAATTTAATATAGGATGCATTTGTTTGAGGGACAATATTTTTCCGGAATTAGTTTTTTAAACTTTCATTGTTTTGGTTCGCCGAAAATGATTAATTAATCGAAAATACTTTCCGGTTAAAAAAAATATTCATGCATAAAATTAGGAAAGTGAATTCCTAAATTTGAAAAGGGGAAGATACTTTTCGGAATTGCTCTTTTTGAATTTTTTTAATATTTTATTTTTTCTTTTCTTTTCTTTCTTTTTCTTTCTTTTTTCTTTTCCTTTTTGCTCCTTTGCCAGTCGTCGAGCCTTTGGCGAGCTTGACCTCGCCGTGGCAAGGCTAGCAAGGCTCAAGCTCGCTGAGATCTAGCTAGCTCAAGCCTTGCCATATCCCGGCGAGCCTGAACTCGCCCAAGGCTGGCGATGCCTGACCTCGCCCTAGGTCGACTAGGTTGGCCTTCACTAGTGGCCTGTCGCGGCCGTCGCTGAGGCCTAGCGACCAGCGGAGGAAAAAAAGAAAAAGAAAAAAAAGAAAAAAAATTATTTAAAAATTTGATTATTTTTTGCTTGAGATAAAGTCATAAGATTAAAATCATTTAAAATGAAATGCAAACACAAGAAAACGTTTTTGGTCACATATTACCAAACAAAGGGAAAGTAACAATTTTCTTGAGGGAAAAGTGCTAAAAAAGTCTTAAACCTTTTGCATTGGTGTCAATTTAGTTCTAAACCTTTTTTTGGTGCTAATTCAGTCCTAAACCTTTTGCATTGGTGTCAATTCAGTCCTAAACCTTTTTATGGTGCTAATTCAGTCCTAAACTTTTTATATTGGTACCAATTCAGTCATAAACCTTTTGTTTTTGTGCCAATTCAATTCTTCCGGCCAATTTTGGCCCGATTTTGCTGATTTGAACGCTAACAGGTCGGTGGCCGATCACCGGCGTTGACATGGATAACTTTAATAATATTTTAATATTTTTTGAATTTTTATATATTTATTTTTTTCTTTTTCCTCCCCTCCCTCCTTCCTCCGGCCGGTCGCCAGGCGGCGTCGGCGAGGCTTGTCCTCGCTTGCCCAGCCTCGCCCAGCCATGGCGAGGCTCGCCTTCGCCATCGCTGATGAGGGCGAGCCTCGCTAGCGGCTGGGCGAGGCCACCCTCGCCAGTGGCCGGCGAGGGCGAGCCTCGCTGGCCTCTGGCCTTTGGCTGGAGGAAGGAGGGAGGGGAGGGGGAGAAAAAAGAAATAAAGAAATAAAAATTCAAAAAAAATTTAAAATATTATTAAAGTTGTCCACGTCAGTGCCGGTGACCGGCTGGTCGGCGTCCACGTCAGCAAAATCCAGCCAAAATTGATCGGAAGGATTGAATTGGCACAAAAACAAAAGGTTTAGGACTGAATTGACACCAATATAAAAAGTTTAGGACTGAATTGACACCAACAAAGAACACATTTTTGTCTAAAAATCTATCAATTTCATCCCCATTATTAGATTTTCTCTTTTCGGTTAAACACAAAAACATATACATATCAATGCATACTCATAGTTCAAATTGATGACAAAATAATAATTGAAAAGGAAATACGCTTGCTCTGCTCAACTCTTGTGTAGAATATTAAGCTAAATTGGCTGCCTTGTATGCTACTAAACCTACTTTTCTGGAATCATATCCCTTTTTGGAAGGCTTAGTCGCTTTTATTTTAGCAGATGCAATGAGGGTGTCTTATTTAATTTGATGTCGTTCGAATTCCCGGATAGCAAGAAGGAAAGAAAAGTGAATCTGACATCAAATGAGTATAAGAATCTCTTGTTTTCTATTTTAGCCGACTATGCATTAATAACTAGGATTACATGTGCAAAAGATTACAAGTGAGGTGATCTTCGATCAAAGCTAAGATGACTATTAAAATGAGTTGCAATAGTTCTATTATTTTTCTCTTTTTGCGTTGCAGTCAGGTTGGTTAAGTCATCTCCTTGTCGTCCTCAAAGTATAAAATCAGTAAAAAGTCCTTATATGCAGTTGTTTCTGTTGAGCTGAGCAGTTCTCTTCTTTTTTGCTCGAAAAACAATTGATTTATTTGTTCATAACTAGTCTTATAGTCAGATTGTGTTTGGGCTAGTTCGCACATCTTAACTGCTCCATCTCTTTAAACGAGTAAAAAACAGGGCAATCCTCACTATATCTAAGTGATTTCACAAAAAAAGAGTAAACTCCGTCTTTGTCGCACGTCATAAGATGTAACTTACCCACAACTTTCACCTTTATCATGCTAGTCAATTGTTGCATTATTTGCTTTATAAACAGCGCGGCAAATACGCAAATTTACTCGAATTGCGCATGTTTCAAAACGGCTCAACAAGTTTTAACTCACTTCAAAACACACCTAGTCCTTTTTTGTCGAGTTTGCTCCCATAGTTAGAGAAAATGGCGTCGTAAGTTGATTAAGCTCTCACATTACCTTATTAGCCTTACTCGTAAGATTTCATATCCAACCCAAGGTTAGTTGTAATGAAGATTAGTCACTCCAATACACGGAACGAAAAAGGGAATGCATCGCATCTCGTCTAAAATTTGCAACAATAAGAAGGCTTCTACAGAACATGACATATAATTGAGATAAGATTGATTAGTTGGTCGTATTTTGGATTCTATCCACTAAGATGAATCAAACACACTTCAATCATGTCATTCTATATGAAAAGTAACCAAAAAGAAAAAAAAGAAAATGCTAGGAGATATGCCAAAAATCAGGCCTACATGTAAGAAGGCTTCTTCTGAACGAACCCCGTAATGGAGATAAGTTTCATTATCTTGAGCTTGATCAAGGACGGCCACAAGTCTTGAGCTTGCTCCCCAAGATGTCAAAGTCCGTAATAAGAATATTCTGTCTTTGGCTGCTGTCTGGTCCTCTTTTGCCTCATATTCCAACTCATGGTCAGCTGAATATACGAGTTCACATTCATAATTTACTTGATGACAAAAGATATTAATTGAAAGAAAAGTCTTGCTCTGCTTAATTGGATATGATAAGTAAGCTGAGTTTTGCGAATATGAGTTTATTACCACTGTACATGGGGCTTTTTTGTATGCTTCTGATAATATCCAGGATTAATAGTTATATTAGGCAATTCACTGATAATACCCTATAGGCATCATATATAATATCCAGGATTAATAGTTGCATTACCTATTGCTCTCTTGTACATGGCAACTTTACATAGAGCAGAGTTTGTTTTTGTGAGGAGCCCCTTCTAATTCTAATAGACCATGAACAAGGCATTTACATTTGGAGACGTGGGAAACATTAATTTTGGGGAAAAGTGCCAAAAAAGTCCTAAACCTTTTGCATTAGTGCCAATTTAGTCCTAAACATTTTTTTTTGTTCCAATTCAGTCCTAAACCTTTTGCATTGGTGCCAATTTAGTCCTAAACCTTTTTTTGGTGCCAATTAAGTCCTAAACCTTTTAAATTGGTGCCTATTCAGTCCTAAACTTTTTGTTTTTGAGCCAATTTAGTCCTTCCGATCAATTTTGACCGGAATTTGCTGACGTGGACGCCTGCCGGCTGGCGGCTAGTCACCGGCACCGATGTGGCGCTGACGTGGACAAATTTAATAATATTTTAATATTTTTTGAATTTTTATTTTTTTTCCTTTTTTTCTTTTTTTTTCCACTTTTTTTTGGCCCCCCCCATCCTCTGGCCGGCGAGCTCGACCTCGCCGGCCACTGGCGAGGGCAGCGGCCTCGCTCGATGACGGCAAGCCTCGCCATGGTCGGGCGAGGCTCGACCTCGCCGAGATCCGGGCGAGGTCGGGCCTCACCCGACCATGGCGAGGCTCGAGCCCTCGCCCGGAGGCCGCAGCGAGGGCGAGCCTCGCCATGGTCGGGCGAGGCCCGACCTCGCCGGATCTAGCAAGGTCGAGCCTCGCCCGACCAAGGCGAGGCTCGAGCCCTCGCCGGAGGCCGCGGCGAGGGCGAGCCTCGCCATGGTCGGGCGAGGCCCGACCTCGCCGGATCTAGCGAGGTCGAGCCTCGCCCGGCGACCTCTTGCCGCGGCTGCCGCCGGCGAGGGCTCGAGCCTCGCCATGGTAGGGCGAGGCCGCAACCGCACCTCGCCAAGGCGGGCGAGGCGCAACCCTCGCCGGTGGCCGGTGAGGTCGAGCTCGCCGGCCTCGGCCTGCGCCGGTCGCCCGGACGAGCGACCGGCCGAGGGGAAGGAGAGGGGGTCCAAAAAAAAAGTGGAAAAAAAATAAAAAAAAGGAAAAATATAAAAATTCAAAAAAATATTAAAATATTATTAAAGTTGTCCACGTCAGCGCCGGTGACCGGCCGCCAACCGGCAGGCATCCACGTCAGCAAATTCCGATCAAAATTGACCTGAAGGACTAAATTGGCACAAAAATAAAAGGTTTAGGACTAAATTGGCATCAATTTAAAAGGTTTAGGACTTAATTGGCACCAAAAAAAGGTTTAAGATTAAATTGGCACCAATGCAAAAGGTTTAGGACTGAATTGGCACAAAAAAAAGGTTTAGGACTAAATTGGCACCAATGCAAAAAGTTTAGGACTTTTTTGGCACTTTTCCCATTAATTTTGGCATATGATCGAATTGTGATGTGCGCAATAGAAGAGGAAAAGGAGTTTACCAAATTGCATAACCCTTAAGATATGTGAATTATGAATCATAATATTTTAGGTCCAAACCTACAACCGATAACATGTGTATATGCGGAGACCATTATTACGGAAGTTCAAACTCATCCTTCGATATTATCCTTAACATTAGACTTGATGAGTTCTAACTCAATTTGAAACACATTCGGTCCTTTTTGTCTAGTTCGCTCCCACACTAGAGAAATTGGCACCATACGTTGATCAAGCTCTCACATGACCTCATTAGCCTCACTAGTAGGATCTCGTATCCAGCCCTAGGTTAGTTGTGGCATGGATTAATCGCTTCATTCCTTTGAACTCAAAAAGGATTACATAATATTTCTTGTCTAAAATTTTGCAACAATAAGAAGGTTTCTTCATAATAGTACATCTAATGAAGATAAGATTGGTTCTTTGGTCGTATTTTGGACGCCATCCATGCTGATATGAATCAAAATGCAAGAAATCAGGCCTCCATATTAAAAGACTTCTTCTGAACAAAACACGTAATGGAGATAAGATGTTAGAATGGGATGAAATACATCGTCGGATTTGAATAAGTCTAATTGGAAGCTGGGATAAGAATATTCTTCGTCTTTGGCTTCTGTCTGATCCTCTCCCTCCTCATATTCCAAGTCATGGTCAACTGAAAATATGAATTCACATTCATAATTTACTTGATGACAAAAATATTAATTGCAGAAAAGACTTCTGCTTAATTTTATATAATAATTAAGTTGAGCTTTGCGCATATGAGGACATGACTCTAGAAGGGCTGCTCTGTATGCTTCTGAGACTACTTTTCTTGATGTCCTCCCTCACCTTCCGGAAGGTTTAGTAATGATAAGAATTAAAAACTAGCTGAAGCATTTCATTATAGGGAAAATGACATAAACAGTCTATGAATTTTTAATTTGTTCAATGTCGTCCTTGAACTTTTAGTACATGTTTAATTAAGTCCATAAACTGTATGAAAATATTCAATATAATCATTCTATTAATTCAAGTTCAGAGACTACATTGAACATTTTTATATAATCCAGGGATTACAATGAATATGTACCAAAAGCTCAGAAACCACATCGAACAAATTAAAAGTTCCGGGACCACATTGAACATTAGGTTAAAGTTCAGGAACTACATTGAACAAATTAAAAATTCAGGGACTACATAGCACATTGAGCCAAAGTTCAAGGACTATTTGTGTCATTATCTCTTTCATTATAAAGTAAAACATCTACAATCATAGGGCTATCTTAAGTGAAAAAAAAATTACGTTTATGTTTAAAACGCAAGAAACATTAATTTCGATGTTATGATTGAAATAGTGATGTATTGAATTATGAATCACCACATTTTAGGACCAATCTGCAACCGGAACATGCGTATTTGCAAAGACTGTCATGATGTAAGTTCAACCTCGTCCTCTAATTTTATCGTTAACCATAACAACGTTTCACAGAACACGTTGCCAAACCCCTTCTATCCAAGGCAAGCGACAGACTAGGATGTGCATCTTGGAAAGAATCTTGAAGGTCGATGTTCATATGGTCTTCACACGTGCCTGTCATAGTCGAATTGGAAGTCCAACATGAATTTCACATATAAAAACTTAAAAGAAATTGCAATTTGCATAAGCAAGCCGCCTAGGGATAGAAGTCAATGGTGCCATAAACACCTATTTAAACAACCCCCAAATCTCTCATTTATTCGTCAAGAATTCAGTTAATCAACAAGATTTTCTAAGCAAACACTTTATCATCCTCTCTCTCTCTCTCTCTCTCTCTCTCTCTCAGAGAAGTCAAGTCGCTGAGCAGCATTCACAGAGAAGCAAAAAAATGGGTTTTGAGAAGAAAGATCTGGATGTGGTGCTGGTTCCGAGTGGCATGCTCATCATGTTCCTGTACCATCTCCAACTCCTCTACAGATACCTCCATCGGCCTCACACCACTTGCATGGGGTTTGAGAACTTCAACAAGCGCTTCTGGGTTCAGGCCATCATGCAGGTCAAATCTCTCTCCTTTCAGTTTAATATTAGTCCATGGTACCTTGATCAATTAATGGTTGCCCAAGAGCGCAATCGAATTGGAACACTCCCAATTCCCACACATTGGACCGTCAAAAACTATAAACTGTGATCCGCACCGTCCTCTGATTGGTCGACCTTATTGAGTAAATGGTCGTGCGCTCAGCTTTGTACGAAATTCACGAAAAGGGTCATTGCCAAAAGAGCTGAGACTTGATCAATTCGGCTGCTCGTGCTTGTGCTGTTCCCGTACTATTTCTGATCAATCAAAGCACAAATTATTAACACAAAATGATCTTGCAGGGTGACAAGAGTAATATTGGGACGTCCCTCGGGGTGATCTCCTCCAACATTTCAGCGGCGACGTTCCTGGCCTCTGTCTCACTCACCCTCTGCTCCCTGATCGGTGCCTGGATCAGCAACACCAACAACAACTTCTTCGCAAGCGACCTTGTCTACGGTGACACCCGGCCCACCACCCTCTCCATCAAGTACATCAGCCTCCTCATCTGCTTCCTCCTCGCCTTCTCATGCTTCATCCAGTCGGCCCGGCACTTCGTCCACGCCAATTACCTGATCAGCACACCGAGCCCCAGCATCCCTCCAAAGAGCGTCGAGTTGGCCGTTATCCGAGGCGGCGATTTCTGGTCCGTTGGGCTCAGGGCACTGTACTTTGCTCTGAACTTGCTTCTCTGGTTCTTCGGGCCAATACCAATGTTTATTTGCTCCATTCTCATGGTCTTGTTCTTGTACTACCTCGACTCGAACACGATGCCATTGATTGAGCACGAGTTCGATGGGAGTCAAGTGGTGAGGAAGGTGGAGCAAAGAGTGTCTGAGATAGCAATGGCCATTCACATGCCTTCACATCAGAATTGACCAGGCCTGATTTGTTTGTGTAAACATCTAGGAAGAAAAAACACGGGGTTTGATTTTTCTTGCCTTAGATTGGCAACATAATTGTAATAGAATACATGAAGAATAAACGCGGAAAGGGACTTGATAGTTTATATTATCAGCTGTTATTTTTTCAATCGGCCCTTGTGTCAAGATTTTTATGGTGGAATGACCTCAATATTTGTAGAATTACTAAAACCTCCCGATATAACACGGGTGCTCGCACAATCTTTATAGAAACCATTCATGGATTGGTTAATCAGCTATTGATCACAAAACAAAAGATCTCGGCCGTTAAATCGATTTTATACGGTATAAGACTTTGTAGGAAGACTCCCACAAAATGCATATAATTTCAGCTCAAAAGAGCATAGAAACATCCATATAAACAACCTTGGACTCTTTTGTCTATGTTGAAATTGCTTATTTTTCAACATCGTCGTATTGAAGTTGAGCTTGTGGGACACGATGAGAGAAAAATGAACAAATGAGAAAATATCAAAACTAACATCACCTTTTAACATGACCATTTACATACCTCTTTTTTTATTTTTATAATACCAAATTTATCTAGGCCTTACCTTTGGAAACCATTTTGTACCTTCATATTGTCCCGATTTACAAAAATTTCCTCTTTCCGAAATTGACCATTATTAAATTTTTAATTTTTACATTAAATCAAAATACTCAAAACCGACCGCAAGCCAAACAATCCAAATCCTAAACAAAATGTTAAATGTATTTACAAGGAAAAATTTGGTAATTTCAATGTGGAGTTTTGCTTAGAGATATATGAATGGTACTTCCAAAAATAAAGATTTGTGAGTGGTTATTGGGTCTAAAGTGAGAGGTATATTTTCTATATGTTCCTAGAAAAAAGCTAATTTTTCACCACCGTTGACCGTGGTTGGGGATTACTACCACATTTAGTATAGTTTCTGTCATTTGGATTAAGCACAATGACAATCCATCTAGTGAAAATTAAAATTATCCATACATAATAGAAAACTAATCTTTTGTTTTTCTATTCTAAATTTGTTCAATTAGTTTGTGGGGACGTCTAGTTAAGAAGCTTCTAGCATACTTATGTAATATGGTCAACATACTCTTTCTGTGGTGGTCTCATGCGAATTAAATACAAGAGCTAATCTGTCAAAGTCTGACTCTTCTCCAAAGTTAGTGAGGCAAAGAAGCATTTGCAGGAGTCTCCCCAACAGCCAGTCCTTCGTTTAAAACCTATCTATCCAACTTTCCAAATTCAACAAGAGCAATTATGTTTTGCACGCATCTCCGTCTGTTGCAGCTTGACTCTTCTTTTGCTATGTGCAAGAGATTGTGAACTCCACACTTTTGACCAAGTTAGGTAATACTGTATAACGTCGAAGAAAGTGATGCCATACTATTTTTTTCATTTTGCAAATTAATCCTCGCTTTACCCACCTAATAAAACATTTTTTTAATGCAATAAAAAAAATTCCATGTAAATGTTGATTTAGCTAGGACGCTTCACTGCTGATTGGATATTTATTTCAACAGGTCAGGTCTGAACAGCTATTGAACAAACCGTTTTCCCACAAAAGTTTAAATTGTTAAAAACGTGCCAACCATATATGCATAACATATTTTAAACTAATATATGTGCATTTTTCTTTCTAGTGATTTCGTTCATCCAACGGATAGAAGAATTTTTTTCTTTACAAGATTGGATATGTGTAAGAACTCTATTAGAGACAGTGGATGTAACAATAATTCATTACGTTAATTAGAGCTAGGTTTCAGGGGAATTTAGGGCTTAGTTTTTATTGGGCTTATCCCACATCGGTTGTAAAAAAAGCTGGTGGTCAGTTTATAAGTGTGAGGGAAAGCCTCATCCTTTGAGGTAACTTTTGGGGTGAGAAAAACGCAACACCACCCAACACTGGTATAAGAGTCTAAGTTATTAATAAGTCTGGACCCAAATGTTACATAGGAGATATCAGTTGTTACTACTCAAATCCAAGGCCCCAATGTGTGAGGAGAAGACGAGTTGTTACTGTTCAAACCCAAGGCCCCGATGTGTGAGGGGAAAATTATTGGGGTTTATTCCACATCGGTTGTGGAAGGGGTTGGTGATTGATTTATAAGTGTGAGGGAAAAGTTTTTATGGTGAGAGAAACTCAAGACCACCCAACAATTGTGGTGATAGGGCATAAATGGAAAGAAGAAAAGCAAAAATAAGTGGAAGAATAATTATGGGCTTTGCCATCATACTTGTGGTGAAGTGTTGATTTCTTTAGAAGGGTAGATTGATGCTTAATATTTATTTATTGATTTTAGGGTCTAGTCCTTGATCCCGCGGGTACACGGAATGGTTACCGTGGAGGTTGTCTCGATTCATTTGGTTGAAGATCATAACAATCCTTGATAATGGAAAGTGACATTGAAGTTGTTCAAGTATTAGAGACATTAAGGACATAAAGACAAATTATTGATATGGTCACGATTCCTCAGCCAAGAGAGTTTCATGTAAAAGGGTACTCAATAATTGTAAGAGTATATCAATAATGCATCTAGAAAAGAATTAATGGGAGGCCAACTACAAACTGATAGAGAAATTCAAGTGAAAATTTCTCATAAATTTGATTTTAGTAGAAAACGAGGATAGATTTTATAATTTTTGAAGATTAAACAAAAAGTTAGAGATAGAGCCCTAGTGACAATAAGTCAAAGGTTTGATAGAAGTACAATCTAGCTTTATCACATAGGTGACTATTGTAATGGGATTGGGATGCGGTGTCATATGTGATTACCAAAGGTTGTATTTTCCTCAATTTCTAGTTAGATGAAAGATTGATCATCCGGCAGGCTAGGATCCAATCAAGCCTCAAAGTCGGGCCTAAATTTTTTCCAATGAGCACCATCATCACAACATTTTTATAAACGAATTAGGACCGGATTTACTCACTAAATGCCGTTGTCAAACTCAATCCAAAATGTATTGAGTCCTTGTGGCTCATGTCTGCCTGGGCTAGCCAATGGGCCGCTAGGCCCATGATCTTGAAATTTCCTATAACCATTTGTTTTGTTCGGTGGGGTTACAAAATTGGACATCAACCACATGTAAAGTTAACTGAACATAAATTTGCAAGTGTCGACGTTTGTATCTTCCTAATCAGAGTAATGGTTAGAAAAGGAAGAAAATATTGTCCAATACCGAAAGATTTAGAATAATCAAAGCACCCGCATCTAACAAATCCTAAGAACATTAGAATGTCTATTGGCAAATGAGCAGCAAAACATTGAAACTTGCTTTTAAAAAGTAAGTTTGGGCTCCAATCCGTCTGGGCTTTCTTGCAGTACTTCGGTGGGCTAGGGGGGCCCTGGAACTCTGGGGCCGTCCATGGGATTAGTTCATATTTTCCGTTAAGTATAATGCTAACTATTATTTAATTATCATACTATATAAAGGCCTGACGATAGAAGTTACTTGTCTCAGCTTGTGGCTGTTGCATGTGACATGTTCTTTTGCATTTGCTCTTCCTTTCTTAGTTAATGTTTACGAACAAGAATGAATCGACAGCAAAAACTAAAGTCACATGTGAATATGAAACGTGTCTCAAATGTCAAGAACAATATTCAGAATTTTCAGACCTTAAAGTGGATAATATAAAAGCTCATCATCCTGGAAACTAAAAAATAGGGAAAAAATAATAGTTTGATCGATGACGCCGGAAGTCTTGAGCTTACCCAATACGTTACGGTGGAATTAGATATTTTTGCTGTAATTGAATGAATTCTTAAGGCGGAAAAAAGAGAGAATTGAACAAAAGTTAGGATTTGGAAACTTATAGGGCCCAATTCTAAAAAAAAAGCACGAACTTTAGGCCTAGTACTACTTTATTTTGTCTAAAAAAATATCATCATCTTTCATTTGTGTCATAAATCCGGCCCTCCGTTAACTCTCCATACACTGTCACCGTTAGTCATCCAAGATGGCATTTCCATGCCAGCAATAATATCCACCAGTAAGTTGACGTGGATATAAAGGCACAAATACACCTGCGCTTTCTCTTCTTCATCTCCTTGGCACGATTTTCTTTTTTAGGTTTTCTTTCTTCATCCAACATACGTGCGGGAGTCTTCGATTCGTCCGAAGATCTCGCGCTTTCTCGCTCGCTTGTTCATCCTCTCACATAGAAACGCTCACTCTCGTGCTCAATCACTTAGAGACATTGTTTTCATATGGAATTTTGAAGATCTCGCGCGCGCTCGGTCACTCAAAGACGTCAATTCGTCTGAAGAGCGAGCGAGCAAAGATCTTGTGTGCGCTCGCTCACTCACTCATCCTCTGACACGGAGACACTCACTCTCACACATACTTGCGCTCGGTCGGTCGAAGGATGCTTGCTTAAGGGTTGAAGCGGACGGAGCATTGAAGGCATTTAACAGAAGGTATTCTTCTTCTTCTTCCTCCAATGCTAAGGGACATATTAAATTACGGTCACCATGTGCTTGATGATTTGTCTAGAAGTGATTTATTTCACAGAAACTGAAGTCGGTTGATTTATCTCCAAAACGATGCTGCATCCGAGTATTTGGAAAAAGTGTTAAATTTAAGTCTGCCCTCCAGTGGGGTGAGATGATTCTCATGGGAAAAATAATTCAGCAGCTTCAGTTCCATAGATAGGACCATTAGATCAATTCACAATTGGCAAGCTGTTTGCAATGAAGCTAAGTTGGAAGTATAAGACCACATTGCCTTCAAGCGAGATATTGAAACTGTGTGCATCTTGTAGGTAAACAGAGATGTGAAGTCTATTTGTGATAGACTTACTGCACTCATTTTCAAAGAAACTTTGAGTACAGAGAAGATATTCTTTTTCCTCTTCTTCCTCCTATGCTATTGGAAGGCATTGAACAGAAGGATTAGTTGACAAGGTTATGTATTAGTTTCCACTGTATGACTTTCATCTATTAATTGTGAACCCGGAGCAATATTCATCTATTAATTGTGTCAACTGTTAAGTAGGTAGCCACAATTTTGATATAACATGAAAACCACTTAAGGTCACCCTTAGTTGTCACATGGAAATACGAGTCATGAATAAAAAATTTTAGTCTATGGATTGTGGGT